CCTATCCGCTTCGCGGAAACCAGTTTCCACGGCGCCGTGCACAGTGGAATAATAATGATCGTGCGTAGCTTCTCCAGCGAAAAGGATTACTTAATCATAATTCATTTCGTCAATGTCACCAGTATTTTACAATACGATTCAACAATTACATAAGATACAAATGCATGACAGAGTAATGTTAAAAATAAAAGAACATATCTTGAGTTCTTGATGAAATGATATAAAATGATGAAAAGACTATGTTGAATAATACAAAATTGCATAATAATTACAAATATTATGTTACTTTTATTTTATGACACGTACAGGTTTAGTTCCACTCATAATTGGCTCAGCCAGATCTCTCGGTTTTACATCCATCTGCTCGGAAACCATACTTAGAAAACTATACGAGCCTCGAAAATGTTCATTGGTATACCATTTCGATCTAAAAGTTTTAAAAACTAAGGTAATGACATGATAAGTTAAAGCGAATCTAATTATCTTTCTGTCAATCAGTTCCAACAAAAATTACCTTAATATTCTTGTTGGTTTCACAACATTGCAACGTTTCTCAAATGCCTTTTTTAACAATAAATGCAATCCGCTGACCACGTCAATATCTGATAAGGTTTCCACGTGTCTTGCATTTTTTCCTGTTAACCAAGCACATAAAAGATTAGGTTGATAAGCCACAGTGAAAAATGAGAATACATCACAGAGCCACTCCCTATCCTAGAATAAATAATGAGATTATAGTGAAAGGCTAGGACAAAGATTATCAAAATTAATTTTTAAACAAATTATTATTCGTTATAATCTCAAGTTTATATAGGCATCTGAAGAAAAAAAAATTATTAGATTATATTCAAATATTTGCTCACCTGACTATAGTTTTGCAAGAATTCCTTTCTATCTTCTTCTGACCAGATGAAATCAAAACTGGCTTTATCTTCTGGCCACCATCTGTGAGGAAATTCGAGGAAGACCTTGTTTGCTGTCCCGATATTTAATCACTATGATCGAATGACATTTATCAACATCAACATGCATGTAATGTGTCATTTTATCTTACAGAACTACGTTGTTAATAAAACCTCTATCGCGCGTTGTTTTATAAACTACATATGTATAATTATATAGTTTGTTTAAAGTTTAAAAATTATAATTGACAGAAGCATTCTGCGATCCTCCAAGACCTAGTTACTAATTTTACAATCCCACTAATTAATCTAAAAACCTTGAATTATGTAGTTCATCAGAGTTTTTAATTATACCGCGCACATTGAATTATTAAATATTGGTTAAAACTAATGTCTCGTGTATATTTTTAGTTGATGGACGCGAATAAGGACGGCGTGGTGACCATCGAAGAGCTGGTACAGTGGTGTTCCAAGGACGAGCAATTGCTGCGAAGTCTCGATACTCTGGACACCGTATTATGAAATCTTAGCGTTCATCGGAGATTTCAGATTATCAACTACGCTTTGAGCAATGACTATAAAATATCGTGTAAAATATCTTTCCATCGATCTACCTGCCTCTCATTATGTAGATAAGGAAGATACACAGATTTTCAATAATTTAATGATTGTACATATAAGAGAAAACGTTAAAGTTGATTGAAAACATTAAAAAATATATAAGAAAGACAGAAAAAATCGAATTAATGTTGCAATTCTAAGCAAAATCTACTCATAAGAACTAACTTATGAGTAGTCTGCGATTTTATGCGTACCGTATATCATACAGTCACTCGCAGAATATACGGTAGAATTGCAGATATTACACGTCAGTTACTTTTTATGAGTCTTTTATTAATCTCTCGAAAACTAGTTGCGAGTCTTACGATTTTACTTAGAACTGCAGCATAAATCTGTTTGCGAATCGCGAGTTTGCGATTCAAGCAAGGTGCAATAATTCAATATTTACGGGAACAGAAAATCAAATGCGACCAACCGGAGTGTCATTGCTCGAGACGTATCTTTAAGAAAAGAACGAACCCTGGAGAACCCTTTCGCACGTGTCTTTGTAAATATGTATGTACCTCGTTTACACCTACCCAGTCTTTCAAGTACAACACTTTCGATACTTCATTCAACGGAATGAGAATCTGAGAGAATCGACGATTTTAGTCCCCTTCTAAGTTTCTTGAAATTCCACAGTTTTGAGAATTTTTGCAACGTTGAAGTTATAAAATATCTCAAATTGTTATATTATACAAAATTATTAAATCACTCATTAATTATGTCGAAGTAAGTAGATCATCGATCCGTTCAGATACTCGAGCCCTTGCCAGAAATAGATGAGTTAAAAGTAATCGATAATCGAATTTGATCTGCAAAGGCAGAAAGGGTATTCGGAATTTAATTAAAATCGATAATCGATTCTTACGACTTCACAAAAAAAAACGTGCGTCTCTCTTCTTAAAAATGTTTCCGTTGGCTCGTATATTTTTAGAAGATCGCTATGATATTCGCTTAGTGTTTGCGAAATGTTTAAACCTTCGGGATCTTAAATGACACGTATTAATCGATTGATCCTTCGAAGGCGCAAGTCTGCCCTAGTTCTTTAAGATTTCCAAATTTGATCTTTCAATCTTAATGTACTATCGTGAATGCCAAATTTGGACTTTTAAGTCATCGATTACAAAGCAGTACTCTTCTCAGGCCAGATGAGGGGCAACCAACATTGCCCTGTGTTGTTACTTGGCCTTTACCTCTTGTGATTATCCTGTACCTTATTATTATATAACATTAATGATATTAATATACAACATATAATTATTATCGAAGTTAAGGTAACTCGTTGTCTGCCATACGTGCCGTCAAAACTAATATATCTCTCTCTCATATTTTTTCGAATCTCTTAATATCATTATATATTTCTCGCTTTAAAATTTTCCTTCAAGACTTCAATTTCATTGCAGTCTCGGGTCTCACGTGATCTTAATTATTCGCGAATTTTTTAAATGTTCTGAACACTGCGGTCTCACGAGATTCTTAATTATTTAAACATTCATCAATCCTATCAATCATAAGTATTTCACGCATGACTTCTAAAGACAGGTATCCTTTTATGGTTCTATTTCGATCTTCATGGCAGATAAAGTGTCGATACCGCTTATTACACTTGTTCTCAAATTGTTGAGGTTTAATATTTAACCCTTCTTACAGAAACGAAACTATATATATACATATATAATATATGTAATATATATGTATGTATATGTAAAATCGACTGTTGAAAACATTCCATGAATTTATTCTCGCTCGCAAATACAAGTGCGAGTTTCTCGGCGTTGTAAACGCAAAATGCGCCTTTTGCGTGTTTAACAAGATTAGCGTGTAGCGTGTATATACGTGTATGCACTTTTGTTAAAACGCATGTACACTCGTGCATACCTGTGAGAAAATAAATCTACCTTTGTACCACGAATCGTTACGTCTATTAAATTCTTCGAATATAATATGAAAAATCTCAGAATATACATATCTGTGTTTTCAAGAGTTTAATAGAAGTTCAATTCGTTCTCTCTTAGATTTCCATTAAACTGGTGACTATATTAAGCTCCTAAAGTTTACATTTTTCTGTGTATAAAAAAATTAAGATACAAGCACTTACGTGCACGTTTGTGTTTTATATTTTTAAGATATTTTATATTTTCTCATATATGTTAGAGATTCTCAAATAAACGGGTCCGCACCAGGGCTGCTTTCGCGAGAAAATCGAAATGGTTCAGATTAAAATGACCTTAAGCTATGATTGGTCAAATCTGAAATTTCATAGCGTCACATTGAAATTTTATTCAGTGAAATTCCAGATTTGACCAGTCATAGCACATTTTAATCTCGATCAATTTGATTTTCTCGCGAAAGCGGCCCAGTCCGCACGCGTTCGCCGATGTTGCCGACAACTTTTGAGTTTGAAAGTGCCGCTCGTAAAAGATGGCGGCAATGTCCGCGCGTTCTCCTCTAACTTCCGACGCTTCCGACGCAAATCGCGCGAATGTCACGCATTTATGAGAATCGCACGTGCGAATAAACATATAAATGGTTGCTCCCGACATCGCGTATACCTCGTGCATTTTCCCCTCGATGACATTTCCACCCCCAGGGGCTCGACTCTTGAATTCACTCGAAAGAGAGAAGCCTGTGCGAAAATTCTGCTCTCACAGAAACGTTGCAAGTCGACTGGCTATTCGCGTGGTTTCGAACCAATCGACTTTCAACTTTTCTGCGAGGGCAGCATTTTCGTGTACGTTTCTATTTCAGATATAAATACCAGAATCGAGCCCTATAGATTCTTTCCCGCGAATAAACATGGCGGACGTGCCTGCGGATCGATCGAGGTATTCGAGGTTATCGTTTCTCGCCGCGACGCTGACTGGCGATCGTGACACCTCACCGTATGTCTTATCGCAAGGTGCGACGTGAGCACGAAGCCGGCGCGTGTTCGCCGAGACATATTTCTGACATGCCAGAATTATGAATATATTAGAGCGGGCTCGAGGACAGACGCGAAAATGGCGAAGATACGGTGGTCCCTGACGAAGGCGCCGAGCGTTCTTCGGTAAGTCCGAGGACAAATTTTTCCACCTGCCGGGCGCGACAAGTTTACCGGCTGTCCGTTAAATTTTATCTCGTTATCATCGCGCACCAAGTTTTATTCTACTCCCTACCTTCTTTGGTTTCTGCCTGTATCGATCGCGTAAAACTATTGTATTTCACTCTATTGTTACAAATTGTTGAATTTCTACCTAGCCGTTTGTTTGTATCGCGATTGTACGAGGACTCGCGTGTGACGTTCGGATGCCACTTGTTTCAAGGGTCTGCTTGAAGCAGCGGTGGTGGCGGCTGCAGATCGTCTTCAAGTCTCTGTTCTACAACGACTTCTTGAATTGGAGTTACGCTTGTGATATACTTATGGAGCCCATGTTCTGGTTTGTCGAGAACTTCACCTCCTTCTTGGGTCCGGTAAGATCTTAAGCTCACTCCATCTCCTCGTGTCGCATCGCAAAGTCTCTTATTAGCTTTCACTAATTTGAGATTCTAATGTTGTACTTGTGGCATAAGAGATCTCGCTTTATATTTTATATCACTGCACTCGCACCAAGTAATTAGCTGCATGGAACGCCTTGGAAAGATCGGTACTACAGTTTTGACACTTGAATCTTTGCGAGCCATCACATTTAAGAAAGAGAATCTAGCTGGACCGACGTGTCTCGACTGACTCGAGATTCTTAGAGATTTTCTGATCATTTGGTATTGGCATAGTGTTGTTTCTCTCTTGTGTCTAAGCACTGGTCTACAATACGTGGAGTAAGCAAGGGAGAGCCCTAACTTCTAGCTTTTGGTGTAAGGCAGCTGAAATACGGGCATAATTTTTAAAATATTTGCAACACCGATTGATGGCATTTTGATTCACCGAGAGCCTAAGAGCTGAAGTAGGAGTAAGAAATAAAATGGATTTATTTCCTTACTCCTACTCCAGCTTACTCCATGTATTGTAGACCAGCCTTTAGATTACACGAATAATGTTCCATACAGTGCTCTATGACACCTTATTCTAAATAATGCAAACTTCGTAGCATCCACAATGTATTTACTAAGCGCTGCAGCCCGCAGGTGTTCGTAGTGATGGTGAGCCTGCTAACCATCAGCATCGTGTACATTGCGTACTACGTGGGCCTGCCCTGGTGGTGGGAACGGAGTCCGTCGATGACGATAATCTTACTGCTAGTCGGGAACTGGCTGCTGGTCAACGTCTGCTTTCACTATTACATGGGCGTGGCTGTGCCCGCAGGTAATCCACCTCAAGGAGGCCTCATCCCGGAGGCTGTGAGCATCTGCAAGAAATGCATCAAGCCAAAGCCACCCAGAACGCATCACTGTTCCGTCTGCAACAAGTGTATCCTCAAGATGGATCATCACTGTCGTATCCTAGCATATTTATATCTCGTGAATTAATTTTTGTGTGGCCGGCGGTCACTTACTTCATCGGTCACTTGTTCGTCGTAGATCAATTGTTATTGATGAGAATTTATAACGGAAACATTTTCCGCAACATCTCGCGTAAAATCTCCTTAACCAGCGTGCAGCATGGTTGAACAATTGCGTCGGCCACTACAATCATCGGCACTTTTTCCTGTACATGGTTTACACCGTAGTTGGCGTTACGTTCATCATGATATTCGGCGTGCGACTCGCCTATGAGGAGTTCTTCCCTGATGAAGAGCCGGAATTGGACGGCCATCCAGTACGTCTCAATAATTCAGAAATTATTCCAATGGTACGTTGAATGAATTAGCAAACGTGCACTTTGTCAAACTACCATTCTTGCAAAATGTTAAACGCGCGCGCTTAATTGATACAGACCGAGTCCTTGGACCACTTGAGTAAAGAGGAGCTGGCAGAGATAGCAAGACAGGCGGCAGAAACTGAGGCCAAAGAATGGCGACAAAGACTAATAATTTTCGCGGGTTTGATCTGTATTGCCACATTCGCGGCCCTCGGTGCCCTAGCCTGGTGGCACGCGGGTCTTATCACCCGGGGAGAGACGAGCATCGAGGCGCACATCAACAGCGCTGAATCGAAGAAGTATCGAGCTCAGAATAAGTTTTATCAGAATCCGTACGACTTTGGGCCGAGGGAGAACTGGAGATTGTTCTTAGGAACAAAAAATAGGTATTGGAAGATTTAGCAAAAGAGATCTGAAACATTAAATACTCTAGTGATTTCCAGTTAAAATACAGACAGTAATGTGAATCATTAATGATCGGCTAAACGAGAGAAATAATGATAAAAAAATATCACTGTCGTAGAATTTTCGGACAAAAAATTAAAAACTTAAAAAATTAAATTTTGCAAAGTTAATTGAACTTTACTTCATTATTTAAACGTTGATTATGCTAAACATCTAGCCTTTGAGATGCTTGGGTTTTCTTAATTTTGAGATGACTCTAATTTCGAATTTGAGAGAAATTGGAAATTAATAATAGCTATTGCAAATTTTGGTTAGCGTATAAGTATTTATTGGCACTTTGTCAAATGTGTTATTTTCGCATTATTCTTATCGTCAAAAACTTCGTCTAATTATTCTTATAATCTAAATCTTTGTTGTTGCAGGAACTGGTGGCATATCTTACTCCCATCGATCCATGGCCCTTACGGCGACGGGCTTACGTGGCGAACTGTTCACGACAGCAAGATCTCTTGATTTTTGAAGCTTAAGTCTGTCAGTCCCACAGTCTATAATCCATATCTCCTCGCAATTTCTCTATTCTTACGTTCCAATATTCTAGTCAGAACCACAGAATGTTCGACTGCATTACTATAGTTAATTGAAGTGGCATATGTACAATTAACCATTTGCAATTGTCTAATTTTTCAGGAAGCAATAATTTGAGTAAACTTGTCTGAAATTACAGAATTGTTCTTACATGGTCAAATGAATATCACGTAAGTTGAGTAGAGAAAAATTTGTACATGCCATAGTCTTAGTCTTTAATTAATTTGACTGACTAGTTACTTGATAACTAATTGTGTAAGACTTGATTTTAGCCAAGTACAATTTAATAAAGGATGTTTTTGGTACCTTTCGCAAAAGTCGAATAAACTACGATTATTGTCCTCACGGCCAAACAATACTTTCGATCCATGTAATGTAATGGGACACTTTGGTATAAACGGCGGGGATGGTGGTCAACCCACAGGGCTGACCAAAGCTGGTAATACCGACCACTTGGAAGAGACACTTGTTAGGATGGATTATTTGGAGAGGACCACCGGAATCTCCTTGGCAAGAGTCTTTTTTACCACTAGGATCACCGGCACAGATCATACTCGGTCTGATACCCTCTGGAACTTCTAAGGAACTACTGTGCTTTCTCGTGCACTCCAAATTGTCTACTACATTCAATTCAGCTTTTAGCAGTACATCGCTAATATCTCCAACTGAAAGCATAATTTAATTGAAATCGGTACTTTTACAAAAATCTTTAACTCCTATAAAGAATTTTACATCTACTGGGAATCACTTGGTACAAGTTCTTGATCTAGAGTTTTACATTCATTTAGCTCTATAATTCTTCAAATTCCATGATTCCGTAGCTTTCAAGTTTTCACGCCAAAAATAATTGGATTATCTACCGTATTCGGTACGGCCCCAGCCGCTAACCCAGGCTTTTTCAGGTACGGTATCGTATACCTGATAAAGACAGGCGGGTCGTATAGATTCGTTACTGAACGTGACTCTATCTGTAAGTTGCACCAGAGCTATATCCGCATACATTTTGGGTGGATCGTACTGCGGATGTCTTATCGTATTTTTAATGGCCGTTATGATGGCATTCTGATCCGTCACATTATGGAAGCCTATCCTTGCGTGAGTTGGAAATCCGTCCCTGCAAAAATATACATTATAAAGGACTAACTTTGTCAAGAAACCTTTAAATAATTGCAATTTTAATATTATAGATATTTTAAATCCACAATTTCTAATATATTTGAATTAAAAGATCAGCTGATTTCTGAAGATGTAGAACATGTCCATATTGAAGAAATACTACGGAATTCGTTTTGAGGATCTTCGAATTTCGAAAGTTTATCCTTGCCATAAAACAACCGGCAGATGGAAAACAAAAATGACGTTTTTTTCGTGTTGTTATTATATTATACGTCACTTCAAGACAAAGATTTAAAACATTATCTCGTCTAGTCTTGAGTACAAGATAGCCATTCTATTCAGGCCCTAAATAGTTTAAAACGAAAAAAAATGACAAAAGTATACTCTGGTCCAAAAGTACAATGCGCAGCGGAAAGAACCCAGGTATGCGATATCAGCGTGCCGCCACACATCACTTGGAACTTGGAACCAGGTCTACCTAAAGCGACCATGTGAGGGAACTCGCCGACCAAGGCCTCGTCCCCACCGACCACCAAATGATTCCTTTTCTCACAAACATTATTCACTCTGAGCGCGGATGACGATGAACCGGTCAGAGACGTTACGAAGGTCGAGCCCGCAAATTCTCCCGCATATTCAGCGCACTCTGAAATTTATTTTGTAGATATTATAGTGGCTGATATTGAATATATAAAGAAAAAAGCACCATTTACGAGACTGAATATCTTGCCTGTTACTTGTAAACACGTATATTCGTTAAAAATCTAAAAGTTTAAATTATACTTTCAGATCGATTTTTATATCTTAAATTTTTTAATTCTACAAGTTCTTGAACTATACAATCACATTTTACTTACTAGATTCTGATTTTGATTTCTCTGCATTCCTCTGGTAAGATATCAGATCCGCCAATGATGGACGTGAGCCTGCAGAGAGACTGGAGCTACTTGGAGAGTAGCCTGGAGGGTGACCTCCTCCTTGAGGAGGAGAATGCGTACGAGACATTGTAATGTCATTATAAACTGGTGCTGGTGTAAATACTGATATAATATTGTCTTGTGGAAAATAGAAATCTTGGTGCAGTGGTACGTAAGATTTTTGTGTAACAGGCCTTGGTGAAGGTTGTACATCAAGCTTTGGGGTGGTTCCAGAAGGGTTCAAGAAGGGATTTTTGGGATTATTAGGAAAGAAATAATTACCATTAGAATGCGCTGCATTGGGAGGAGCCTGTGATGGAGCATGTGATGGAGAACTATGTGACAAGAGGTTTCCAAGTTTGTTGCTGTTTTGAGCACTGGTAGAAGTTACGGATTGGAGAAAAGGATTCTGGCTGATGTTCGGACTGAGTTCAACTAAATACTTCTCCGAAGAGCCATCTAAAATATATACAAGACAAAAGTTATCCAAAGGTAAAGATATATTTTTATAAATTGTTCACGCCTACCGAAGGTTCCGGGCTACCTAAATAATTTTTGAATAGTTTGAAATATAGGATTGAAATTTATAGGGATACAATGGGATCACAAAGTATTATTTAGCTACAAAACACACGCACTGATGACTGCTGCCACTGCCAGCAGAGAACGTTTGCCACAAACGCCACAATGCCACATCGCGACAGTGGTGGTGGGGATAGGAGTGGGGGGGATGGTTCCCGTGCCGCATACAAGCTACGTGCCGTATGTGTGTGCGCACGCATGCAGCCCATAGCATGTATGCGGCACACAGGAGCCATCCCCTTCCTATCCCCACCACTGCTGTCGCGATGTGACAAACGTTCTCTGCTGGCATCAGTGTATCACGCGGGCACGCGCGCATGTGTGTGTGTGCGTGTGTGTGTGTGTGTGTGTATGTGCGTCACGCAATATAAGAACCCCGCGATTCGTAACTTCCGCCGTATTTAATGACTCAAAATCCTCTCTGTTGTGTGTGTGTGTGTGTGTGTGTGTGTGTGTCCGCGCGCGTGTGCGTGCGCGCGCGAGCGAGCGTGTGCGTGTCCGGTCAACTAAGAAAAGACCGGGATGGGAACACTGGTGTATGTGAAGAAATAAAAACACTAATTATTTTATGAAATGTTCAAATTGATGTCTGGAAACGCTAGCGGTCTTGCCTTGATTGGCCGGACACGCACACACACACACACACACACACAAAACGGAGATGATTTGGAGTCATTAAATACGGTGGAAGTTACGAATCGCGAGTTTCTTATATTGTGTGACACACACATACACACACACACACACGCGCGCGCGCGGGCGCACGCACCCCCCTCCCCACACACACACACACACACACACACACACACACACACACAAGACACGCGTGCCCGCGTGAAACCTTAGCTTTCTTCTGTTGTCGCCGTGGGCTCTCGCTATCGCAAAATCTCAATAAAAGTGTTCAAATGATCATAACTCTGCGAGAAAAAAAAATCCTAGAAACCTCGGCGACCTCGCGTTGTTTTCATCTCTGAAAGCCCTTTCGAACGAGCCCTCACTCAACCCCACATGCCAGTTAAGATTTCTTGACTCCCCCTCCCCCCGGCCCGCGGGTTTGTGGAGGTGGGTGTTTTTGTGATTAAGCAATAGACTTTGTGATCTCATTGTATCCCTAAAAATTTTCCATCTTATATTTCAAACCATTCAAAAATTATTTAGATGGCCCGGAACTTTCGGTCGGCACTGTATACAATATCTATTTGTATTTCCTTTATATGTTAATGTTCAACATTAAAATTTAAGTGTGTAAATATAAAAATTTTTAGATGAACAAACTTTAGAAGAATGCAAACAACAGAATTGGAGAACTTAAAACTCTTCATAACAACGTTACACTACTCTCAGAATACTCATTCTTTATATGCATTTTTCAATGTAGATAGATTTAATAACAACGTCTGCAACAATAACACGATAATGATTTCTAACAACGCAAAATAATTCACGGAATCGCATCGGCGACGAATACACAACACAATACTGCGAACGATTTCTTATCAATAATCTTGAATTTTTCCTACCAGTGAACCGGACGGGGACCACATCAAGCGTCAGAAAAATTACAACCGGAACGAAACCAAAATTCATCACTGACGAGAGATGAGAGCCACAAGGATATCGAGTATTCGATGTCCAGCTTTTTAACGACGGAGATGAACTGTCCGCGAGATTGTCGGCGACTGTGGAATCTGCGTGCGTCTCTCTTTCTCTTTCTCTCTTTCCTGTCTCTCCCTTCTAAGTTTACAGAGAAGAGCATGGAAGAAGCAAAACGATAGGTAAAACAGACAGAAAGAGAAAAAGAGAAGAGAGCGCGTAGAAGGCCAGGGTGGGGAACGGTCCAACTGAGGTCATGACCTCATCGAAGATATCAATATTGTAATTTCCAGTAGCAAGTTTAATCGCAATTGAAAACAAGTTGTTACCGCAGAAAGAATTAAATCAGAACATCTCGACAGACATTTTGCATGTCTGTTAAACTTGCAACAAACATGATTTAGATTGTTTAACATAATAGTAACTTTGCAAGTGCATAAAGTATAATTAAAAACGCAATATATATATTTTGACTATGGGTATTTCAATATTCATCCATAAGGTATATATAGTTATATTAAAATTTTTAATTATGCACGTTGATTATGTTAATAATGTAGATATTAAAAAGAAGACTTCTTAGTAACAAAATCAATGAAAGATTTAACATTGATTCTTAATGTTGTAACGATACTAATCGCTAATTATTTTTTAATATTCATAATGACTGGATGTATTTTAAAAACACAAAGTCTGTCCTTGCTCCGTAACATTCTTGAGATAAAGAAAATAGTAACGAAGGAAACGAAAGATGTATGGATCTACATTCGCCCAAGGATAAATATCAAGTGAACGCTGTTTCGCTTCAATCAACGTTTGATTGGTCAATTGGGAATCTCCAATTCTGACGCACTTGGCCGAGGCTGAGAAACCAGTTAGCGTATTCCGCAAAACTTGATGAGATAAGGAGATAACGAAAAAAAAAACAGGAAAATATCAACGCGGTAACTCAACAATATGCAGATATAAGAAATAATATATTTGTGGAATAAAAAATGAAAGTGTAACAGCGTTGTGCAAAGAGATAAAAATAGAGGTAGAAATAAAAGTTATTAAATAAATTTGGGAAATCAGACGTCTGTTAGTTGTCAGTTGATATTTAATAAATTAAACAATTTAATATATATGTAATAAATTATAACATAGAGCATATACACACGCACACAAAATAGTACGAAAATCTTATCATTAAATGACTTTGTAATAAACAGAAAAATGTCTTATGGCGCAAACAATTAAAAAGTTTTATTCCGCTAGTATATTTACATATCTACATAGCGATATATTTATTTAATATTCGCATGATGTTTTAAAAATACTTCGGCTTGATGGAGTCCTGTTTCGTAAGCTCCGTGCGTCGTCGAGTAGAATTCGTCATGCGTAGCTTCGCCGGCAAACAGTATGATTGGTAAATTCTGTCATATTTGCAAATATTTATAAATTGGATGATAAAGTTTGATTCGTTTTTTTTAATATCTAATTTTGCATTATTTGATTACATAGCACCAAAAGCTTTGAAAATCCATCGCATAAATTATCTTTTGAGTCTATAAAATCTCGTTTAAGATTTAAAAAATAGAGGAAAGTCCTCTGTTATGAGGTAAGTTTCGAATATGAGACAGCAGGTTTTCAAAACCCAAATTCAATCACAAATCTTTTTTTCCAACAATTATACAATCTAAGAATGAATTTTTTCACAAACAGATTTCGCTCCAAGGGCAAGAAATTCATAGTGGAATCGACAGACGATGCTTATTAATTCAACAGAATCCCCCGCTCTCATATTAGGAGTCTATCTCATAATAGGAGACTTGCCTTCACTGAACAAACTTTGTACGATAATTTCACCTTTTTCCTCTTCGTGTCAGTCTGCAACATTGTCGCCCAGACTGGCTCGGCCAATGTTCTAGGCGAGACGTCATCCTCCTCGCAGCTCTTTGTAATGTGACTATAACCGCCTCTCACGTAACTATTCCCGTTCCACTTGGTTCGAACGCATTTTCTCACTGGCGGGATATCGCGACACCGCAAATAATGTGTCAACAGGTTCATACAATCTTGAGCAATCGCCTCCTCCGACAAATCCTCAATGATACACGCTCCTCGCCCACCGACCCACACTATAAGAGTGGCTGGGTGAATCGGCAAAACGTCAAATCCAGTAAGGTCCTTGGTCCATTCCGGCAAGGAGTGGTGATCGGTGTCCTTGGGCAAGAGCAACTGGAAACCGTTTACACCTTTCTGCCACCAAGGTTCGCCAAAGTCCAGAAAAATCTTATTGATGGTTCCGAAACCTAGATTCTCAATAGCGACGCTCAGACGACTCGGTAACAGCGGCTGGAACATCTTCCTGTGGTTCTCTTTTAAATAGCCGAGCGAGCAAGTGACTATTACCGCATCAGCAAGGATTTGTGTCCCTTCGAAAGTCTTTACAGTGATTGGAGAATCGTTTGGAGAATCAACGGAGTCCCGCCAAAAAATGGTCTCCACAGGAGTGGCTAAACGCACTTTTCGCTCATCCAGACTGTCAACGAGAAGATTCGTCAAGGAACCGTACCCGGACTTGAAGAGCAAATGTTCCGGTCCGCCAACGTACTGTGAGAATTATTGTTGTTTTTTATACAGTGCTTATTTCTGAAATATCAATGTAAAATTTGAGCTTACCTTAAACTTTCCCCAAAGGACCGCCGATAAATCGTCCAACGAGTGGCAGCAGTTATCTACCAGGAGGAACCGTACATTCCAATCGAAAATTTCCTGCTTCATCCTTTTCTCCACCGGAGAATCGTCTCTTTCGCGTAAATAATCCTCAAATCTACTTCTCATGATAGAACCGATATTCTCGTGCTTTTTCAAAGGCCTTTGAGATTCACAAATATCATCCGAGACAGTTCGTACGAGATCGTCGATTTCGCGAACCAAGCTCTCGCTCATTATCGTTCCGTCGTCCCGCAAGAAAATCCCTTCGCCATCCGTGCCTTGAATGTTCGATAGTAAATCATTGCCGAGACAATACTGAGCAAGCCTGCTCTTGTCACCGTGCAAAAATTGCGCCCCGTAATCTATCCAGCCATTGTCCCATGGAACGGAATGAATTCTTCCTCCAACCACGTCTTGGGCTGTAACATAGGACAAATCGGAAAATGTTTTTCTTTTTTTTATTAAGATTTATTTTTCTATCTCATTATATATATATATATATGATTATG